TGGTACTGCAGAAGCCTCCACAAAGGAGAAGCAGTGGCCAAAGCTTTGGTGCTTTGCTGCAGTGGCTTTCTGTTTCACAACTTGGTGGTCGTTGCTCTGACCAACAGCTTCTTTCACAGACATCGTCCCCATGGAGTCTTCATCCATTTGCTTCTCAATATATCAAAAACGTATACTATTGCGAATCTGCAATACAATGGTTGCTCCAAAAGGCAACACGGTATTCCAATCCAATCCAATCCATTGCGTGTCTAGTCACTATTGACTTCAGACTTTACCAATATCTTCTCTACCACAGTGACTCGCTCACAAAACAAATAAGTAATTTTTGTTTTCCACTAGCGCTCTGTTTGTTCAAAAAAATGTGTGTTTGGTAACGTTTACGCTTTCAGTTTATATTTATAAAAATTTTATAAAATAATTTTTGTTTATTTTTTGTTTATTTTTAGAAAAATATAAACTACAAACGCGTTTGGTAATTGACAAAATGTTTAAAAAAAAATTAAAATATAAAAAAGAGTGAGAAATGGCAGGTGGTGGCAAGTGGCGGCAGAAGACGGTGGTGAAAAGTAATGACGGTGGGTGGTGGGTAGCTAGTGGTGGTGGGTGGTGCGGGGGTGCTACAATAAATCGACCGGTGGGTGACGGTGGCAGGTGGTGTGGTGGTGGTGGTGGTGGTGGCGCGGCGACGGGTGGTGGTAGTAGTGGTAGTGGGTGGCGGATGCGGGTGGTGGTGGTGGTGGTGGGTGAGTGGGTGACGATGGTGGGTGGGTGGTGGGGCAAGTGGTGGCAGATGACGGGTGGTGGTGGGTGGTGATGGTGGGTGGTGGGTGCTTGACGGTGGCGGGTGCGGGTGGTAGCGAGTGAGTGTGGCTGTGGCTGTGGCGGTGGCGGTAGTGGTGGTGGCGGCAGGCGAGTGGCGGATAGCGGAGCGGGTGGCGGTGGGTGGTGGCGGGTAGGTGGCAGGTAGTGGTGGTGGTGGTGTGGGTGGGTGGTGGGTGACGTGGCAGGTGATAGATGGTAGCGAGTGGGTGGTGGGTGATGGTGGTGGTGTGGTGTAGTGGTGTGTGGGTGCAGGTAGCTGGTGGTGGCAGGTGGTAGATGGTGGTGGCATGTGGGTGGTGAGTGGTGGTGGCAAGTGCAGTTGGTGGTGGTGGTGGCGGCGGTGGATGGTAGTGGCGGGTGGCGGGTGGCGGGTGTGAGTGGTGGCGAGTGATGGTGGTGGTAGTGGTGGTGGGTGGTGCAGGTGGCTGGTGGTGGCAGTGGGTGGTGAGTGGTGGTGGCAAGTGGCAGGTGTGTGGTGTGGCGGGCGGTGGATGGTAGTGGCGGGTGGGTGGTGTGGTGGTGCGATGGATGGCAGGTGGGGGTGTGTGTGTGGGTGGCGGCGGCTGCGAGTGGGTGGCTGGTGGTGACGGTGGGCGGCGGGGTTGTTGCAGTAGGTGGGTGGTGAGTGGTGGTGGCAGGTGGTGTGGTGGTGGTGGCGGCGGTGGCGGCGGAAGATAGTGGTGGAAAAAATGGTGGCGGCTGGTGGCTAGTGTTAGGTGGTAAAAAAAAAAAACTGAAAACGGAAACACTTTTTTTGTGTTTTCATTTTTTGGCCAAATTTATAAACTGAGACCACTGATTTATAAATCAAAAATTTTACCAAACAATTTTTTATTTGAGTTTTTTTTAATTTTTGTAAATATAAACAGAAAATAGAAAACATAAAAGTTACCAAACGGCACCTTAGCATTCTTGACACTAAGGTGGTTTGGTAACGTTTACGTTTTCAGTTTATATTTTCAAAAATTTTATAAACTGGTTTTTGTTTATTTTTTGTTTATTTTTAGAAAAACATAAACTACAAACGTGTTTGGTAATTGATAAAATATTTACAAAATTTAAAAAATATAAAAAAGAGTGAAAAATGGCAAGTGGTGGCAAGTGGCGGCGAAAGATAGTGGTGAACAATGGCGCGCGAAAGAGGTGGGTGGTGGGTGTGGCTTGGGGTGACGGTGGCGGGTGTAGCGATGGGTGGTCGGTGGCGGGTGGTGAAAGTGGTGACGGTGGTGGTGTGTACCTGGGTGGTGGTGAGTGGGTGGGTGACGGTGGCGGTGGCTGGTGGGTGGTAGCGAGTGGCCGGTGGTGGTGGTGGTAGCGGTGGCGGTGGCGGGTGGTGATGGCAGGGTGGGTAGCGGATGGCGGGTGGTGGCGGGTACGCGGCGGTGCTGGTAGTGGTGGGTGGATAACGGTGGTGTGGTGGGCGGTGTGGGGGGGGTGGGCGGGATGGCGGTGTGGTGGGTGGTGGTGGTTGTGGTGATGGTGGTTGGATGGGTGACGGTGGCGGTGGTAGCGAGTGGGTAGTAGTGGTAGTGGTGGCGGTGGGTAGTTGGTAGTGGTGGCAAGTGGGGGCGGATGCGCGGGTGGTGGCGGGTGGTGGCGAGTAGTGGTGGTGGTGGAGTAGGTGACGGTGGCGGTGGTAGGTGGTAGCGAGTGGTGGTGGTGGTGTGTGGTGGCAGGTAGGTGGCGGGGTGGGTGGTGGTGGTGGTGGCGGGTGGGTGACAGGGTGGCCGGTGGTGGTAGGTGGTGGATGGTGTGGTTGTAGTGGGTAGTGAGTGGTGATAGCAAGTAGGTGGCGGTGGTGGTGGCCGCAGTGGATGTAGTGGCGGGTGGTGGTGGTGGATGGCAAGTGGGTGGTGGATGGTGGGGTGTGGTGGTAGTAGTGGTGTGGTGGCAAGGAGTGGGTGGTGGTGGCGAGTAGGTGGCAGATGGGTGTGTGGCAGGTGGGTGGTGGTGGCGGTGGGTGAGTGGTGGTGCGGAAGACGGTGGTGGAAAATGGTGGCGGGTGGTGGCTAGTGTTGGGTGCGTAAAAAAAAAAAAAACTGAAAACTCAAAATGGAAACACATTTTTTGTGTTTTCATTTTTTGGCCAAATTTATAAACTGAGACCACTGATTTATAAATCAAAAATTTTACCAAACAAGTTTTTATTTGAGTTTTTTAAATTTTTGTAAATATAAACAGAAAACTGAAAACGTAAGTGTTACCAAACGGCACCCGGAAGCAGTTGGTAACGTTTACGTTTTTTTATTTATGTTTATAAAAATTTTATAAATTGATTTTTATTTATTTTTAGAAAACATAAATTACAAACGCGTTTGGATTGAACAAAATATTTGAAAAATTTTAAAAACATAAACTAAAAAATATGTTTATTCAGGCTTAAAATAATTATATTTATTTTTTATTATTTATGACAATGAGGTCATACACATTATAATTGGAAAAAAAAAATATTGAAAAAAAAAATTAATTGAAAAAAAATTTGTTAGTCAAATTTTTAAATTTCTGTTTAAAAACCAACATAAACTCATTTTTTGAGTTTACGTTTTTTTCTCAAATTTATAAACTGAGAACCATTTATAAACCAAAAAATTATCTAACTAGTTTTTATGACAATTTTTTTTAATTTTTGTAAACATAAATTGAAAACTGAAAATGAAATGGTTACCGAACAGGTCTTAAGGAATTAATAGTTACATTACATAGTGGCAACAGGGTGGTAGTGACAATCACGGTAGCAATAGTGGTGTGGTAATTGTGACGGTGATGATAGTAATAACAGTGATGGTAATTATGCTCATAGCCATGATGGTAATGGTAAAACTTTAGTTCATAAAATATTTTTTGTTAAATAAGCTTTATTTTTTGTTGATCATAGAAAACGTTTTTTGTTGTCATTTGTTTTCCATTGTACCAAATACCAAAAAAAAGCAAAAACCTTCCACCCAATAGGATTTTTTTGTTAATTTTCATTAGTTGATAATGATATTGGTCTCATACTCAATATTTAAGTGAAGCTGGTTACTGTTGAAATTACATGATAAAAATTAGAAGAGACTAGGGGTAGGGAGATTTGTTAACTATTTGTTAAACATGGCTCAATATTTCTCACAAAAATAGTGCCATACAAACAAACTTTTCAAACAAATTTTCTTTACAAACTGATGTGGCATCTAAAATATTAGTACGTTAGACCTCATTTCACATTTTAAAATTGTATTACTTCATGCCACATCAGTTTGTAAGAAAAGTTCCTAAATTTTTTTTGTTTGTATAGCATTTTCTTTCTCAAAAATGGAAAATATTTCTGGAGAATTCAGGTGCTCAGATTTTCCTGAGAAAGGAAATGCCAGGAAAAAGTTAGCAAAAGAATGGCACCATTGGAGAGGGAAGGAGTTTTCAAATGAAGCAAAGAGCATTCATTATTGTTACAGGTAGCAGCAGCACAACAGATCACCCAAGTAGATAGCACAGCATCTTCCCTCGAGGCATTCCCAGAACAAGCCCATATCTCCAAAAGTTAAAGTTGGAGTAGTTGGTTGAACAACTCATTCTTCAAATGGCTTCAGTGCTTACCAACTATGATCTCAAGAGCAACGATCACAATAGGTAAACGATTAGCCTAGTTTTATGTCCCCCAAAAAATGATGGGAGCAGAGGAAATTATACCGGTGTTCAAAATTAGACATCTGAAGTTCATAGTAAGCACCACCACCACCACCACCACCAATTTCTTTCCATCACTCTAAAGAATGCTAATTAATTGCAACTAGAAATGCAAAACTCCATCCATATACATGGGCCCATCTTACTAGGGGGAAAATTATTTTGTAGTGGTCGTCTCGCAAACAACAAAAAAAAAAAATTGAAAGAGAAAAATTAGCAAAGCAGAAGCTGTGAACTGGACATGGCAATGAATAATGCAAATTTAAGTCGATAAGGTGGAAATGATTTAAAGCATTACGGTCATGTTTGTTTGGGTGGACATGAGCTTGGGATTGGACTAATAGTCCAATAAAATTATTAATCCAATGTTTGGTTAAACAATTGAAATACGGATTAATTATTTTAAACTTGACTATTAGTTAAGATAGGATACATAATCCAACGAATTGGTAGTCCTAGGACTATTAGTCATGGGAATACTAATCCAGTCCACCCAAACAAACATGGCCTACATGTATATAAGAAGAAAATCCCACGACGTGAAGAGCAAGCCAGTCTCTGATATGTTATGCCAGCCTATATAACCAAAGGTCATGTTTGTTTGGACAGATTGGATTAGCATTCCCATGACTAATAGTCCTAGGACTACGAATCCGTTGGATTATGTATTCTATCTTAACTAATAGTCAAGTTTAAAATAATTAATCCGTACTTCAATTGTTTAACCAAACATATTGTTTAACCAAACATCGGATTAATAATTTTATTAGACTATTAGTCAAATCCCAAGCTCATGTCCATCCAAACAAACATGGCCAAAGGGTATTGGAGGAAATTCCATTCATAACTACTACATTATAATGCTAAACAGAAGAAGAGGTAAAAAGGCAGACAATTCTATTTCTCTTTTGTTCCAAAACTAAATATCTACTAGCATCACAAAAAGAAAAGCTTTAAAAAAAAAAAAAAAAAAAAACATACAAACAAATAAACTCTCAGAGCTAGAAATGATGGATAAACGAATCACTCCTACATCACTAAATGCACTTCTTAACAGCTTGCCTGTTCCTTTTTTTGACACCAGATTTGGAAACCTTGAGGCTCCTCTGCACAGCACTCAACCTGGCAAGGGCTGCATTCTTCAGATCTGGCCTGTAACAGTTATCTGCCACCTGCAATATATGATATAATAACAAAACAATAAGACAATATCCTTGATGGCGCCTATATTTCCTAATTGGAATTTTTAAAAAACATAAATAATCAATTAAATAATAACAGATAGCGAAAGAGAGAATTTTAGAACACTTTCACAGTATAAAGCTATGTTACCTAGAACGTGGATCGTTCCGGTACATGGAACGTGGTACGCCACATGTTCTAAAATGTGATACGATAAGAGTGGGCTTATATATATTACACTTAAGAATTTAAGGTATTTCTAAAATAATTTTATTTTAACTATTAGGTATCCAATAATTATTTATTTATTTATTTTCATGTAGCAAATCATTTTTATGAAAATTAGGACCCATTTTCTATATTTTTGTTTTGTCAAAACTTAACTCACCTTAGATTTTAATTCACATATATATATATATATATATATTCTCCTCAGGTAACATTTAAGGACATATATTGGAAAAAAAACTTCTGGGATCGCTTCGGATCACTAAATTTACCGTTTCGGAACAAAAATGTACCATGTTTCGGAATGTGTGTACCAATACATAATTCGCTAGGATATTAGTATTTTCTGGTAACATAGTATAGAGGAAGGTTGTATAAACAAATAACGAAACTACAAAGGTAACCAGGCGAAAATATTCATGTCCAGACTGCAGTCGTGACCATATCAAGAAGGAAAATTTTGAAACATCTTACCTTGTTGTGCCTGAAATAGATCTTAATACTAAAGGCAAGCTAGTCAACATCTTAAAACAATGCTTGCAACATCACAATAATTAGATAAAGCTTAGGCCTCGTTTGGGAACATGCTACTTTAGTACCTTTCGGTTTTTCGGTTAAAATATGAGGTAAAAAAAATTAATATGTTTGGAATAACTTTTTAATTTTTTACGAAAAGATGTGCAAAAAGTATAGAGAAAATGGAATCTTTGACTTCTTGGTATAGGTTGTTGGTTTTTTAGTTTTTTTAGTGATTTTTTGACTTTTAGGCTAAGACAGTGAGTTGCCAAACTAGGCCTAAATGCTTGCTGAATCACTAACAGCACATTAGAAGCTCAGAAACCAATCAAAAACAAAGGACCAGACCAGCAAACAATTCATTAAGCTATCTGATTATATTACTAGCTTAAATTTACCAAAGCATGAGCATGTTAAAAAGTTACTACCTGGTTTTTAACCGCCTTCGCCATGCGGGGGAATTCCTTCTTCATGACAGACTTGTGAAGTAAGCTTGAAGGTTTGCCCTGTTTCTTGGTCTTTGATGTTGCAAGCAACACAGATTGATCTTTGCCCCCTGGTTGAATGGTTACAGTTTTCTTGTTTGCCAACCCTATAACAGGATGCCCATTAAAATACACGTTAAATAGATTACCGTAAATATCATTTCAAAATTCAAACTAAGCCAACCAGAAATTTTTAACGTGAAACAGAAAACCAGATAAACATAAAAATGAACAAAAATCAAACTCATATCTAACATAATTAGGGTATAAAAAAAACAAAATCTAAAAGGTACCAACTTGGGGTTGGATTAATTATCCAACAAAATACATAATTCCACATTTAGCTAAGAAAATTAAGGTCACCCAAACATGATATCCCTCATACGAGGGACTATTGAATCCCAGGAGATGGACACAAGTCGGGAGATTAAGGAGAGGTCTAGATGAACTAGCTAAATTACAAAATAACCCCAACTATACAATGTTGTTTCTCCGTCAATTTTTCAAAGCCAAACCTCTTTCAACACACCACATTCTGCGATGACAAGATAAGTCGCCAAACTCATTCGTCGATCTTGAGTTACCATTCATTAATATGGAGATTATATATAAAGCATATATGTATTGACGCGGGTAATTATATATTAGGTTTTACTTCAATGAGATCTAGAGATTTTGTTTCTTTTAGTTGTAACTTGAGGTTTTATAGGTGGGTGGTACAGTTTTAAAGCATATTGTCCAATCTAAAAAATTTGGTATGGAGCTACTTTGCCATGGAAGAAACTGGAGGGAGAGAGAGAGAGGGATGACATTTTTGTTAGCAAATTTGAAGATCTACAATGGGTATTTTTGTCTTAAAAATGACTTACTGTCCACATAGGTGTGTGTTTCTCAAGGCCCGTCTGTTCATGCGGAACGCGCCTACTTTAAATTGGCATCAAAATTTTGTTTATTTTTATTTATAGTTTAATTAAGATCTTAGAATATTTAGTTTCTTATTTTATTAGAGATTAAGTTTTTAAATTCTAATCATGTTATAATTTAGTTTTGGATTAATTACACAAAGACCCCCAACTATTATCGAATATCACTTTATCCCCCTCATCTACGAACATGTACATATTGATCGCTTCAACTATGAAACTCATACAAATGCACCCCTTTCGGAGAAGGTCCGGACGGGTCTGTAGGGTAAAACTGATACATTTTTATAGCTATGGCGGTCAAAATATACGGTTTCCATAGATGAGAGAAGTAAAGTGAAATTCACTAATAGACATTTTAGTTTTCTATTATAAATTAGGGTTTAAAGCCTACAAATTACAATGCAAAGACCTAAATTCATAGGCTTTTGAAACTCTAATTTAAAATAGGAAACTAAATCACACCATTATTAGAAACTTAAAACTACAATAAAATAAGAAACTAAATATACTAAAATATTAATTAAACTATAAGCATAAATAAACAAAATTACAAAGCAAATAAAATCTCAATGTCAATTTAAAGTAGGCATGTTCCGCGTCCCCCGTTACAATGGACAAAAAATCTAGAAGTGCACTTTAGTCCACAAACTATAAAGAGGTTATGCGATTATTTCTAAATGAAAAGGGCAATTACTGAACATGAGCCAAACCACAAGAGGGTAAAGTGCAATTTGCCCAAAAATCAAATTCAAATATTAGACACTTGATTGTTTACCAATCAACGAATATGTTAGCAAATGTTCGTCAATCTTGACTCCATGTTCGCTAACAAATTGATCATCACAAAGGATGCCGGGATAATTCAAGAAGGGTCGTTGCAATGTCTGCAACTAGTAGGCGGTTGCTCCAAATCGTAAATGGTGACTCAAGATTGACAACGATGGCACAAGATCGACAAATGTAATGGAAGGGTTGTTGATGTTTGGCCAACAAGCCGGGGGAGATATTTTTTGCCACCAATGAGAAGGTGGATTTCATTAGTCAAATGATGGGGCATGCACATGATCTCACATCTAAACGAGCAACTCTAAATGATGAACTTAGTAAGTTGACAAATTAGCCATGATGAATGGTTAGATGCTTGTGATATCATAACCCTCGACGCCCAAAAACTTGGCATGCTTTTCAACTTGACACATGATAGTAGACTAACGTGGGTGATGAGGTTACTACATAGAAGTGCTCCATGACAATCTTGTGGCCCTTCGACGTCTTCCTAAGTAGTTGGTTTTTGTTAACTCTAATGCCTATGATCATGATTCATGACTTAAAACTTTCTATTACTTTTCTATGCAACCACCCATACTTTGCAACATAATGCTACTTGGGATGCTTACTATATATATATATATATACGAGCAAACTAGTGCACAAGCTGCATAGTGGAAGAAGCAACACATGCAAGCATATGAAGCTCGCGGTATCTATATCGGCAATGAAAAGGGCTGAATGCACTATCCCCAAATATTACCTTTGGCAGAGCACTTCAGTGACGCATATTGATTGCCTTTCCTTCACAAACAAACAATATATACTTATATATGTATGTAATAATGCAAGATTCAACAAGAAACATATAAAGATGAATAAATAGGTGATTAGTTGCAGAGGCAGCCTCCGCTGCCGCTGTTGCGAGAATGGGAGGAGTAGATGAGTTATATATATATATATATACTAGCGGTCCGCACACACAAGACGTGTGCAACTCAAGAAAAAATAACATTATAAAAATAATAACAAAGAAAAATACACATATAATGTGTGTTGATCAAGTGGTAACGGCTTTTATTATTAAACCCAAGGTCATGAGTTCAAGGTGTGTACTCCTCATTGCATAATTTCTACAAAAACTCCCAATATAGGGGTATTTTGGGAAAACCAAAAATATTAGACAAAAAGTGTCAATACCACCATCAGTTTTCCCTTTATATATTAGAATAGATAAAAATACTAAGATATTAATTAAACTATAAATAAAAATAAACAAAATTACAAAATAAATAAAATCTCCATGTCAATTTAAAGTAGGCCCGTTCCGCATCACCCGTTACTCTAGACAGAAAATCTAAAAGCGCACTTTAGTCCACAAACTATAAAAAGGTTATGTGATTATTTCTAAATGAAAAGGGCAATTATCTGCATATGAGCCAAACCACAAGAGGGTAAAGTGCAATTTGTCCAAAAATCAAACTCATATATTAGACACTTGACTATTTACCGATCAATGAATATGTTAGCAAATGTTCGTCAATCTTGACTCCATGTTCGTTAACAATTTGATCATCAAATAGGATGTGGCGATAATTCAAGAAGAGTCGTTGAAGTGTTCGCAACTAGTAGATGGTTGCTCCAGATCGTAAATGGTGACTCAAGGTTGACAACGACGACTCAAGATCGACAAATGTAATGGAAGGGTTGTTGATGTTTGGCCAACAAGTCGGGGGTGATATTTTTTGCCACCAATGAGAAGGTGGATTTCATTAGTCAAATGATGGGGATTTAATTAGTCAAATGATGGCGGTGTGCACATGATCTGACATCTAAACGAGCAATTCTAAAGGACGAACTTATTAAGTTGCCAAATTACCAATGATG